AGAGAGAGAGAGAGAGAGAGAGAGAGAGAGAGAGAGAGAGAGAGAGAGAGAGAGAGAGAGAGAGAGAGAGAGAGAGAGAGAGAGAGGAATCATGGTTGTATGGGACACTGTTATGGTTATATGCCTGCCGTTTGAGGGTTTTCATGATGGAGTTCAGATACCTGTGATTTTGGCATTTACAGATGGTTATGTTTATGTGGTTGTGTTGGGAATCTTGTGATGCATGATGGTGTATGGCCAGATGGCGGCAGCTTCAGAGCTGAACAGGCTGACGACACAGTGGAAAGAACTGGCAGAGAAGAACATAGAGATTGAAACGGCTTGTGCTTCCTTGGAGGCTGAGGTGCAGCGGCTGCGTGAAGAGGCAGAAAGGAGGTAATCATTTGCTGGCTTAACTGCTTTTCGCTGCCTTCCGTTCTTGTCTCATTTTGATTACTTGGATAATTCAATCATAATTGATTAATTGTCATAATTGATTAATAATCATTAATTGATAGATAAAATTGGCTTCGATTGGACTGGATTGTAATATCATTGTATGGTCTATGGATTGGGTTGATTGATTGGTTGGTTGGTTGGTTGGTTGATTGATTGGTTGGCTGGTTGATTGATTAGTTGGTTGATTGATTGATTAGCTGTTGATTGATTGTTGATTGGTCGCGATTGATGTTCTCAAGCATTTGAGGGAAAATGACAGTCGGAACCATGATATGTGAAAATGGTCATCAATTCAAATTGAATTCATCATATGGGTAAAAAAATACTAAAAATCAAAAATAACCCCGGGGGGGGGGGGGGGGGGGGGGGACCACCATCTTGTGTTAAGGTTTAGCGTTTGGGTTTTCTGTGAGCATGGGCATGAAGAAACATTCATTTTTGTTTCTTTTCCCGAAATAGAATACAGAAATCGAAAGCGAGGGCCCGAGTTCGAGGAATACGAACGATTGTTAATTGTTCCAAAAAAAAAAACAAAAAAAATTGAAAGGGAGGACGACTTGTTAAAAATTGTCAGGCAGTGGGAAAGGAAAAAACTTCAAAAAAGATATACCAAAGGTTAATTCGCTTAACTGATCATCGGAACAGTGGTGCAGGCGCGCAAGTGGTTTGATTCCGTTAGATTCACACCGATTGCCAGCAGCCTCAAACTTGCGTGAAGCGCAGCCTTCGACCGTACTAGTCATAGCCGTCGATCGTATGGTCAGCGTCTGCCGGACTGTCAGACCTACAAGCGGACCAAAGACGAAGTCGGCCATAGTGATCCAGGGCCTGCTTAGCTCAGTTGGTACACCCAACCCTGAATTGTTAAAACTTGAGAAATACAGACCATACTTGCAACCGCATGGTGCGCCGCCACACTGTCGGCACCTGCTCGTGCGCCGTACCAGCGGCAGTTTCCCTTTTTGTGTTTTCTTTTTGTGCTGTTTTTTGTAGAGACAGAAGAGTGCAACACCTAAGAAATTGATATATTAAATATTTCAATTTTCGAGGGTACAGTCGTACAGATTTTTCTTTCCGTCCAATGGGGCATGAGAAATAGCCTAAAAAAAAAAACAAAAGGTGGTCTGGGACATCAGTCTTTGACCTTGAGGTAACGGCGTACCCTCCCTTTTTTAAAAGTTTTTAAAAGTTCTTTTGTTTTTTTTTTTGCTTTTTTTGCGTTTTTTGTTTTTTTTTGTTTTTTTTGTTTTTTTTTTGTTTTTTTTGTTTTTTTTTTTTTTTTTTTTTTTTTTTTGTTTTTTTTTTTTTTTGTTTTTTTTTTCCCATCCCACAACAAATCTTTAAAGGGCACACAGGTGACCATTGCCCCAGCCATGCGGCCCCTCGTTTTTTCAGAGCAAACATGCGGAATTTTCCGCACGGCGTCCGCTTGCATGTATGATACAGGCCTATGCTCGAATCACTTCGATGGACCGAGATGATGAATGGAATGAATAACTCCTTACCTGCGGCGGGTCACTTCGGTGCCGATATCTCAAGGTCGTCCGTCGCCCTTCCGTAAAAGAAAAAAGAAGAAGAGAAGAGGAGAGAAAATCAAAAGTGATCCGACGGCTGTGTGTGGAAGGCGTCTACTCAATACAGATCAAAGGTGCACCAGAGATAACAGGCCAATGACTCCGAAGAGATGATATTGACAGAGAGAGCGAGAGAGAGTCGTTTGACACACACGCCGTCATCTTGCGGTAGTCCCGCAGTAATGTGGTAGGTGTGAACACTGTGAAGCTGGATATATTGCCAGGGCCCAGGAGCACTATATCTGGGCCTGCTCTCTCTGTTCGTGCGCATTGAGCCCGATGGATTTCTCGTTAAATGTCTGATCCCAGTGGGTCGAAGAACTATAACCGGTCTGTATTGAAACCAATACGGTTTTTTTTTTGTCAAATCCAAAGGTTTGCCTAATGGTAGCTTGGGGTGGGTACGTGCAGCTGTGCTCGGTCCAGCACTTCAGAAAAAAAAACTGAAGTGTCAAAAGACTCAAAAACAAAAAAAAAGGGGATTCCATTCTGTAACTGAGCTGAAGACCAGATCAACAATCAGCATACTGGACAGAATTGTGCAAAGTTGTGAACCTCTCTCTCTCTCTCTCTCTCTCTCTCTCTCTCTCTCTCTCTCTCTCTCTCTCTCTCTCTCTCTCTCTCTCTCTCTCTCTCTCTCTGTGTGGGTGTGGGTGTGGGTGTGTGTGTGCTCTCCATCATCATCATCCACTTGCAGTGGCATTGCATACCACAGTTTATACTTACTTTCCATTCTCCCCACTCCCCCTCGTCCTCTCCCGCTCCCTATCCTGTCTGTCAATAGTTTGTTGTGTCAACGACTCGCGATGAATTTGCTAATGATCAGTGTTGCATACCCCGACGGTTGGCACCCCTTGACTGGTCGGCTGGTCGGCCGGTCGGCACCTACCGGTCGGGGGTCGTCGGCACCCCGCAGAAAAAAAATCCTTATATATCTACGTGAAACAGAGCTGCACGGTAAACCGTAGGCAAAGAGGGAGAAGAGGACAAATGTTTGTTTATTTTGGGTCCAGAACCCCCAATAACCCCACGAAAACCCCCATACCCACCCCCAACACCCCCCATAGAGACCCCCAACACCCCTAAACCGCCCCCCAACACCATCATACCCCCCCCCTATACCACCCCTATACCACCCCTATACCCCCC